ATTTCTGGCATGCTAGCTGTCCGCGCTCAGCTTCCTATACTTGGCGTAGCATTCTGCATGGTAAGAAGCTTCTAGAAAAAAGGGTGATGTGGGAATGGGGAATGGAAAATTTGTTCAAATTCAGAATGACAAGTGGGTTGCTGATGAACTTTTTGGTCTTGTGAAACCCCATCTTACCATTGCTTGATCGTCAGACTATGGATGCCCTGATTAGTCCTGATACACGAAGTTGGGAGGTAGATACTGTTAATGCTTTCTTTCAACCGAAAAATGCAGCCAAGATATTGAAAATTCATGTTGCTAATTCTGAATGTGATGATTTGCTATCTGGCCATTTACAAAGAGTGGTACATATTCAGTTAAGTCGGCTTACAATTAGGCTCGGTCGGAGTCCTTTTTTCTTGCAAGGAGCCGGGCCGGTGCAGGTACAATATCTGATCATCATTGCACAGCAAAGCAGTGGAAAAAACTGTGGTCGATCAAGGCACCAAGTAAGATGACGAGTACTGTGGCGTATTGCACATGATTGTTTACCAACAGGACAACAGCTGCAACGAAGAAATATCCCAGCATGTTCCTGTTGCTGTTTTTGTGGTAAATTGGAGAAGGTTGAGCACTGCTTTTTGATGTGTCAATTTGCCTCAGCTGTGTGGGACCCCATTAAACACCAATATGGGATTCAAACTGCGTAAGAAGCACATGCGAAATGCAAAGCAATGGCTTTTTGATCTTCTGGAGAGATTGGGGCCAGCAAATCTCTCCAGAAGATCAAAAAGCCATTGCTGGGCGCGCTGTCGGAGGAGATACTGCTGCAGGTGGCGACAAAGCCCACTGCGAAGGAGGTGTGGGACGCCCTTAAGGTGCGCTTCGTCGGCGCCGATCGGGTGCAGGCGGCGCAGCTCACGACTCTCTGCGGCGAGTTCGGCCGCCTGCGGACGGAGGACGGCGATGAGCTCGATGTGTACGCACGCAAGATCAACAACATGGCGGCAAGGTACGCGGCGCTCGGAGCTATGCTGGACTACGCCGCCATGGTGAAAAAACTGCTCGACAACGTACCGGACCGGCTGTACGCCGCGGTGGCTGGAATCGAACAGTTTTGCGACATCGAAGATATGGTGTTTGAGGAGGCACTCGAGCGCTGAAGACGTTTGAAGAGCGAACGCAGCGGTGCGTGCAGGCCGGCGGGGAGCGGGCGGGCGAGCAGCTCATGCTCACCGCTGCTCAGTGAGCGGCGCAAGAGCGACAGCAGGGCGGAAGCGGCTTCGACCACGACGACGACGGCGCTGGAAGCACGGCAGCAGGCGGCGGAGGAAGGCATCGTGGCCGCTGCTACAACTGCGAGCAGCGGGGCCACTTCAAGCGGGAGTGCACCAAACCGCGGAAGGCGCCGGCGGTGGAGCATGCGCTCGTGGCAGCGGTCGGTGACGACTATGAGCCAGGACTCCTCTGAGCCGGGGCTTAGGGGGTGAGTGTTGGAAATGAGCCACGGCCAAGCGAGTCGGGTGCGCGTCGGGTGCGTGTGCGTGCGCGCGCCGGACGTGTCGGATGCAGACCGGGTCGTGTCGGGTCCGTGGCCAGTGTGGGTGTGTGCGTGTGTGTGGTGCACAGGGGTGTCCGTGCACGAGTACACCGTGTGCATGTGTGTAGGCCTAGGTTGTTGGCATCGTGTTCGTTCTGTTGGAGCTCACCGCAAGTCGCGCGCGTCGGAGCGTGTCGCGGGCGCGGCCAGAGCGGGCAGAGCGTGGGCACGATCGGCGAGTGGAGTCGTGGGTGTGTGCCTAAGGCGCTGGCTCGGGTATAAAGCCGTGCGGTGACAGTTGTAACAGCTGAGGCGGCTTGAGTTTGTGCTTGAGGAAAGGAATTGCCGTGGTTGCGGCGGGCGTACGTGCGCCGGAAAAATCCTCTCGTGTCCACTGTGCTATCTTCTTCCTCCTTTCTTCTCCGGTGTGTAAGAGAGAGAGGCGAGCAGAGAGTGGGAGAGGGCACCGGGGAGCTAGGGCGAAGCCAGTACGCCAACACAGCGGTGATCTTGGACATGGTGAAGAGCATGATGTCGTGGGCGGCAGCGCCGGTGATGGGCGTGCACTGAGGCCAGTAGTACACAAGGTCGTGGATCGCCTTGCCGGACTCGGAGCTCAGGACGGCCTCGCGGATGGCACCGTCGGGATTGTTGGGCGAGCAGACCAGCTCGATGTGGCCATCGCCGTCGAAGGCGTTGGCGTCGCCGGCCCGGTAGAACCCGGAGAGCAGCAGGTCCGTCTGCGGCGGCACCAAGAACGCCAGCGCAGGCTATCCTACTCGCGATTATGCCCAGGGGCGAGGGCATTCAATCCTCATCACCTCGCGCGCATACTCGCCGACACCTGCACCGTGCTGGCTGCGGTCGTCAACTTCAATTGAACTAACAATAGTGCAGGGGCAAGGACGCCTGGCGTCAATCCTCGCCAAGAACGCCTCCGGCTCTGTCCGTGGTCATCTCCCAGCAATCTAGCCGTGCTGGTTACCAGTTTAATTTTTTTCTCATCGATTAATTGGATGTATTTCTATTGGTGCAATCAAGCATTCAAACTCACTTCAATTAACTACACACCCATCACCAAAATGCACATTCTCCGAATAACAAAGTAAAGTAAAGGCCAACATTGGCTCCAAATACTCAGCACAAATTCTAACATTCGTTCTGCTTCGACATATGCAAAGTTACGAACAAGTAAACACTAGTGATCGCCTTACAATTAGGAAGCCCAACGCTTCTGACTGTCCGTTAAACAAAAGGAAAAAACAACTGCTAGTGATCTCTCAAGTCATCACTTTACTCCTCCCTAGGAATCCGTTCCCAGCTTACATCGGTATAATAACAATGTCGGGGTCTGTTTTGATCCATATCCAACTCTGGCCAAAACCCGTGCCTCAAAAAAGACTCTTCGAGCACAGGACCATACCCAGGATCAACCTTGTTGATCAACTCCTCCACATCGTAAACCTTATACTCACTTTGCCATAAACGAGCGGGACCATATAAGTGCTCAAAAGGATCCCTATGCAGGGCAACATATATCTTTCCCAGCTCGACCTTTTCCTCATTACTGTTAACCATGATCTTCTTCCCATCCGCAGAAAGCGGCCTTTCAAGTGGAGCTCTATATGTTGTTTTTTTTATACCACGAAGTGCTTGTCCCTCCCGTACCCAGTAATTGACAAGTGGGTGCAGGCCCTCCAGATCAAATAACTTATTCGGGAACACTTCAGATAGGTCGTTGAACACTAGATTCACACGAGATTCTAATTTATAGGCACCAATGGAGTCTGGACGATATCCAGACCGCATTCTTTTGAGCCTGTTGGCAACTGTATGTCGCAGGAAACGGTTGGCAGCTGCATTCCTATCAATCCGATCACCAGGAAACCTGATCGCTGAATGATTATTGATCAGTCGTTTGTCCACAGACTTAGCATACTCCAGATAGAATAATAAATGTTTAACATCCAGCGGAGTTCTCAGAAACTCTGCCGTCTGTCCTCTGGATGCTTCCAGACATTCATTGAACAATACCCGGAGAGCATTGTATGGGCATTCCATAGAGTTCTCCTCATCTTTCTCCTCATCTTTCTCCTCATCTGTTATACATGTGCTTTTAAACATGATCCCCCTGTGCGAGGGTGACCATAGGATATTGTCCATTTTGAGTAGCTGACTGACATTAACCCCCCTCATCATGTTGACTGTAACAAGGCCAGAGCCATGTCGAAGAAGATCAGAACCCAATTCGCCTAACACTGAATTGCCAAATACCTGTAGGTCCACTTTCCGAAAGAGTCCACCTAGTGAAATTGGCTTAAGAATAGCACCAGCAAGTAAACAATCCTTAAGGGGAAAGAGTGGCCATCTCTGTGCTTCATAATCATCACAAAATCTGTTAATAAAAAGACATACACTACTGATCTACTCTCTGATACTAGAAGAGATAGGAAGCCACAGTATTCTTCCAAATAATGCTACTTCAGTGGCTCAGAGAGAGAAAATAATTACAGTACACACTGTATATGGTCAGTTCACCAGCCATGCTTCACGCATTCACCCCTCTACCCTCCATGCAGACATTTGGCATATGGTAAATTACTCTTATGTAGTACTCCCTCTGTCCCATAATATAAGATCTTATTACATCCAATATATTATGGGACAGAGGGAGACAAAGGCAGTAAATACTCTCTACCAAACCAAAACTTTCAAATTGGATGGAGGGACTTTAATTCATTACCAGTTGCAAAGAGAAGCGCTAATATGCATAGTTATTATCGTCTTTAACTGATAAATGGGATTAAAATCCCATTAGTAAAATTAGCGTCACAGCCAAAGACAGAATTTAAAACGAATCTTTAACTAGTCCCAAGTCCCAACTCTTCACCAATCAGTTCTGTTTAGAGAGAATCTTCACCAGTCAGTTATATTCTCTTACTACCTGTGTTTTGCAATTAAAAATATGAAATGACTCTTAACTAGTCTCACCTGCTCAAATATATTTTCACATGGATGCCGAGATAACTTCATGGAGCAAAATAACAGAAATATACTCATATATTCCACTAAACTAAGGGGGGCAACAGAGGATGGTTTCAGCTAACTCTTATTGCTTTGAACTACCATGCAAACAGCTGCAGCAAAATCATTTTTGTTTACTTGCATTGTTTATGAGATGCTTCAAATATCTAAGGGTGCATACACCTGTATGCAGAAAGTGTGAAAATTTTAGTTGCTCGACTAGTGATACTAGAGTCATTTATGCAAGTAATCTGGACTGCTATCATCCTGTGATGGCAGAACTTTTAGCGGTGCAATGCAGAGTTCCGAGCATACAGATATAAGTGTGGCTCTTTAGTAATAAAGCATGCAACAATCAGATCCTTGAAACAGTAGCACACCAGGACAAAGTAGCAAATAATGTTTAAAACATAGAGCTTGGGCAGAGAGAGAGAACTATTGATTTGTTTGTAACTTACATCAATTGTTTAACAACCGGAACTTCCGGCTCCGGTTCCGGTCCAATTGAAGAGAAAGTTCGGCCATTTTGGAACACTTTCCTTTTGTATGGTGTCATTTCCGGTTTAGCTTGGCTGGATGCTTTGAGCACATGATCCTGATAATGAACGGCACAATAGATTAGTTACAGTGATCCAACAAAATGGAAGTGTCCACCTACACAACAGAACACAATCACTCACCATTTGGTTATTGACTAGAAAGTCATAATCAAGACTCTCCTCCTCAGTCATCTTAGCATAGTGCATCCAGTCATCTTGTTCAACTGGATCCTTAATCAAGCCAATGGGGTACTCACTCACAAATGACTTGTATACATTCTTCAGGCTATCTCCAGATATCTTCAGCGAATCATCATTGTTCTACAGCAAGGGGAGCCAATGTTAACAATGCTCCTGAAAAGATGAAAAATTCTTTACTAAAATTAATGGTGGGACTACCTCTTCCTTGAAGTTGAGGTCATAGGTTTTGTCCTTGTCATTGTAGAACTCTGAAGCAGCAACATCCATTCCAATGACAACTTTGCCGGTGTATCCAGCCTTTTCAATTGCAGTCTTCAAGAGTTCAAGGCCCTCCTTGTTCTCCTACAATGTCAGAAAACAAAAGGAACTCAGATCACAACCCAGATACGTTGACTTTCAATTCAGAGCAACACAGTAGTTTTACACATTAAACCATGACAGTCAACAGCTGTCGTTAAAACACCAAGACATAACAAAGCAAGGAAATCAAAGCTCTGAGAACAGGGATATACCTGAATGTTAGGAGCAAAACCACCTTCATCTCCAACATTGGTGACATCCTGCCCATATTGCAGTTTAAAGTAAATTATCCAAGAGAATATCGTACAAGGAAATTCATAGTATACATTATAAAACTATTCACACAAGGATGTTATATATAACTGATACCTTGTTTAAAAATTCGTCCAGATCTTCAGCGGTCTGTTTAGTTTCTCCACTGCATAATGCTTTGACTTCCTTTGCCAATTCTTTTGCAGGATCTAGCAGAAACTTTGCATACTCCATCCTTGCTTTCAGTTTCCTTTTCAACGCTTCCTGCATCAGAACATGAACTACGTTCTTGAGCCAACCAATTTGCAAAGTAACAATGTTTGTGCTTCGTATAGAAATGTAACTACGAGATCAATTCAAACATTAATACACAGAAATCTGTCATATCATGAACAGCAGGGTCAACAAACCATGGAACCAGAATGATGATATGCTGCACATGCACATCTGCTTAACACAGGGCAGGTAACCCATGCATCATAAGTTGTGACATACATGGTGGCATAATAGAATGCTTAGAAATGTAATAGCTAAACAGTATAATCATACAAGTGCACTTAGTAATTATTATTGTTGCATCACAAACCTCTTCTTTCATCTTGTCTTGAAAAGTGGATGGCAGCATGTTTGGAAACAACTTGAGAAACACCGGCAATAAGAATTCCATGAACGGAACAATGATAAACACAGCAACAGGTACCAGCCTGAAGATATCAGCTGTTGTACGGGTGAGTTGTTGCCTCTCTCTCCTTGACAGGCTCTTTCCACCAGCAAGCTTCACCAGCAATCTTGATGAAATCCTAACATCTGCCCAAAGTAGCTTTGTTCCTAACCAGTAATGCTGCAGTCTAGAAATAAATTCATCCTTCCCATGCTTCAGCTTTACAGCCCAGTCAGCTCTACACAGAGATAGGTTGCATATGTTTAGAACACCGGAAAAATGGGGCAGAAAACAATATCTTGTATCAAAAGTCATAAGTTTGAGTTCAAGGAAGACGATACAGACCTACTCATTGAAGCAATAGCTCGGAGAGCAGGGCCAATACCCAGAAGCCTTGCCCAGAATTTTTGTACGATTGATCGGCTAGCCTTTAGAGATTCTTGCACCTGCTTGGCTTTGGCTCTAGCTTTTGCTGTGCTTAGGCCTTCCACAGCCTGGTCACATTCTTCTGGGGATGCCTCCTTTTTCTTTTTATTCTGCTTCTGATGCTCACTCTGTTCTTCTTCGGTATCCAACTTAGGTTGCCCAGCAGTTGCGGTTGATGCTCTGCGGATTGACTGCAACAAACCTCTAGCTCCAAAAGGCAATGCAAATTCATTACTTCTTCCAATTCCATAACCATGAAGAGAAATCACATGAGCTGGTCGCTGCGGAAACCCATTACCAAGACCTAGCAGACCACCCTTTGTCAAATTCACATTATACTGCGAAAGTGCCTTTCTGCTCCCGAGCTCATTTGAGCTCGGTGAACAGTAAAATCAAAAAAAAATTCAAAAAATTCCAATTTTTTTTGGGAGAAACATTGACAAAAGTTCTAAGTGCTTGCAAAAATTCATCATGAAATCACATTCCTGTAAAGCGTGGCAAAAAAAACAAATTCAGTGCTCCAAAATGCTTTTGAAAGTAGCTTTTTCAGAGTACTGATTTTGTTTTTTTGCCTCGCCTTCTAGAAATGTGATTTCATGGCGAATTTTTGCAAGCACTTAGAACTTTTGTCAATGTTTCTCCCAAAAAAAATTGGATTTTTAAAAAAAAAATTGATTTAGTTTTGATTTTACTGTTCACCCGAGCTCATTTGAGCTCGGGTGCAGAAACTCCGCGTCCATTATACTGCTCTTTCTCCTTGTCAGATTTTGAGTCCCCTAAGCTTTGCTCGAGAAATTGTGGCGCTATTCTTGGCTGAGCCTTGAAACCAAATGCCCCATGCTGGAAGGTAGAGAAGGATGATGACAGGATAGGTGTGTTAACATTATCCAAAAGACGTTTCCTTCTCCTAATGATCGCCCTTGAAGCCATACTTGGTTGCTTCTCACCCTCCCAATGGGAAGGCAAAGATCATGCCGTTCTAAGTACAACCTGAAGTGATCAAATTCAGAAACCATAAGAAAAATAAAGATTGACAAGGGGATAGTAACAGCACATTACAACAACAAAAAAACAGCGGTGAGAATAATGCTGAACAATCGCAGTACCAATATACCACACGCACTAGTCAATTCTTTTCAAAGGGCACTAAGTGCAGTTTTCTGGTATAATGGAAGGACCGTAAATCTCTAGGATTTCCTCTAACATAACAGTAGAACACATAAGTACAGTGAGTAATACTTAGAAACTTATATGAGTAGCAACTAATATGGAGAATCAAAGTGAGGATGCAAAAGCTGTAAGAGAATCAACTCTGATCCAACTATACAAGCAAGCTCAGCAATAGTCCAATCAACAGCCACCAGAACAAATAAGTCCGTGGTTGTGTATTTCCCAAATGATCACAAGATGCAGAACTTACAATCCATAGCCAGCACAACAAATAAGTCAACAGTTGTGTATCTCCCAATTGATCACAAGATTCAGAGATGACAATCCAACAATGCATAAATACTATGAGCAGTAATTTCACTGTTGCCAGTAAGAAGATTCCATGAGAATCAACTATGCTCTTCACCTCAGATTTACAAATTGCTCACTTTAAGTCTTAACTATGACAAGCACTTCTAACAGTTCAAGAACAAAAATCTGAAGCAATCATTAACTAGTAGTAAACCTGGTTTGGACACTTGCATTAAGGAATATAACTCCATCTTTTAATTTCCAAAATAACAGTTATAGAGGGAAGAAAAAATCACAGATAGATTATTATAATCAATAGCAGAGCATCTCCTCGGTTGAACCATTTTGCCTATCCAGATATCGACACGAAAAAGCTCAACAACATATGGCAGTGACAATTTAATTCGACAAGTTTGACGTCAGGAGCAGTTCAACTCAAGCACCCGAGATTATACAAGTTACACACTCCAATCGAGTCGAAAATCAAAACCCCGCGAAAAGTACGAATCGCGTCAGGTTCAGTCCGTACTGATTCATCCATCCTAAGCAAAAGAGACAGACAGAAGGGGCGGACTTAACCATTACACAGATTTGCAAACGATCGACGAAGATACTATAAGGAACAGGCGAGGACAAAACAATTATAATTTCTGAAGTTTCGAACAGGACCGCGAAATCGGTCCTTTCGGCTGCCACCTACCCTGAAACATCCACTACTCGCCACTCGCCAGAGACCATATTACCCCGAAAACTAAAACCGCAGCAACGGATGTGACCACTAGCTGTCAATCCGTCCCACCAAATCACCGACGCGAGCAAAGCGAAATCCTTAGGAAATCGACCAATGCGTCGACCGACCGACCGGGCAAAAAAATCAGAAGTGGAAAAACCAAAGGAGCGTCCGGAGAGAGGCGGAGGAGAGCTCACCCGGCGAGGGACGCGGCGCCGATCGGCCGATCCCGTGGAGGTAGGGTTTAGGGTTTTTGAGGAGGGAAGGATGGGAGTAGCGAGGGGGGAAAGCAAAGGGGAATGAAAGGAGAAGAGGAGCAGCGGGGGCTACTTTACTCGGAGAGGAGGGCGGGGGCAGACGTGCGAAGAAAGAAAGAAATGTGACTGTTGCAACGTGCAGCTCAAAACGTGCAGCTCATTAGAACAAGTCGAGGCAGTGTTGTGCCTCTGAAACCTAGGGATTGGTGTAAAATCATAATTTAGGTCTCTTATATAATACAAATCCAATTAAACTTATTATTGATCCTATTGTGGTAGTGTGATTTTTTTTTGAAAAACATTACTCACATTTTAATAGTATAACTCACGTTAAAAGGTGAAATTTGGTACTGTGATTAGGGAATCCAACTCGATACCCCGTCGGTCCACGGATGTGTTGGCTGTTTAAAATCCCGCAAACTAGACGCAAAATCAGGGGAGCTTTGCTGACGTCCAGAACGCGACCACGTACGTGTCCGACACTCCAGCCCCACCCCAAAACCTATTCGCCCGAGAAACCCTCCTTTCGTGAAGCGGTTGCCGCCCATTCATTTTGGTCAGTGTCGCTCTAGATCGAGCGTGACTACCGGATAAGCGGGCTGCGCCGCTTCAATGCCAACATGACGACCGAGAAGTCTACTCCGATCAGTGCGCCGTATGAAACCGTTGCCCGCCCTTTCGCAGCCCGCGGCTATTTAAGCACAGCTTTGGCGCGGTCCACACCACACCTCACACCATCTCCTCTTCGCACTGAAGGAAATATGCCCTAGAGGCAATAGTAAAGTTGTTATTTATATTTTCTTATATCATGATAAATGTTTATTATTCATGCTAGAATTGTACTAACCGAAAACTTGATACATGTGTGGATACATAGACAAAACACAGTGTCCCTAGTAAGCCTCTACTAGACTAGCTCGTTAATCAAAGATGGTTAAGTTTCCTAACCATAGACATGTGTCGACATTTGATGAACGGGATCACATCATTAGGAGAATGATGTGATGGACAAGACCCATCCGTTAGCTTAGCATAATGATCGTTAAGTTTTATTGCTATTGCTTACTTCATGTCATATACATATTCCTTTGACTATGAGATTATGCAACTCCCGGTTACTGGAGGAATACTTATGTGCTATCAAACGTCACAATGTAACTGGGTGATTATAAAGATGCTCTACAGGTATCTCCGAAGATGTTTATTGGGTTGGCATAGATCGAGATTATGATTTGTCAATATCGGAGAGGTATCTCTGGGCCCTCTCGGTAATGCATATCATAATAAGCCTTGCAAGCAATGTGACTAATGAGTTAGTTACGGGATGATGTATTACGGAACGAGTAAAGAGACTTGCCGGTAACGAGATTGAACTAGGTATGAAGATACCAACGATCGAATCTCGGGCAAGTAACATACCGATGACAAAGGGAATAAAGTATGTTGTCATTGCGGTACGACCGATAAAGATCTTCGTAGAATATGTAGGAACCAATATGAGCATCTGGGTTCCACTATTGGTTATTGACCGGAGAGGTGTCTCGGTCATGTCTACATAGTTCTCGAACCCGTAGGGTCTGCACGCTTAATGTTCGATGACGATTTTGTATTATATGAGTTATGTGATTTGGTGACTGAATGTTGTTCGGAGTCCCGGATGAGATCACGGAGATGATGAGGAGTATCGAAATGGTCGAGAGGTAAAGATTGATATATAGGATGATATTATTCGGAC